CTCTCTCTCTCTCTCTCTCTCTCTGCTGCAGCCAGGAAATCAATGACGAGTTTGTCAGGCTCCGGTAATTTTCGTTTCTTTTGCTCGCGCTACTGCTGGCCGGACTGGTATCGACGCTTTTTCCGTCGGCGGGCGCTCCAATCGTTCGATCGCAGGACGTGCGCGCGAGCTTTCAAATAAGACGAGCTGGCTCTATTTACTCCGATTCGCCGATGAAATGAACGTTAAGATGTGCTTTTACGATTGAAAAACAAACTGCGCAAGGCGAAAAGCATGTCGTTTCGGTTGCAAACTGGACAGTCGAGCCGCTCACTGAGCGTCATTCGCGTGGCGAAACAGTGCGCAGCAAGAGTTCTTGGAGCATTCGCTAATTCAAACTCAGCGCGAGCATCGACACACAAAGGACTTTGCGTCTACAGTCGATGGCTTTGGGAATAGAACGCATGGACCAAACTCTCCATTAACTGTCTAACGAGCCGTAATTTATCGCGTTATATACGCTCGGCTTGGCTTGACGTTATGCGTAGGAGAACTGAAAGCTGCGGCGAATTCACCAACGACGAGGAGAAAAAAAATTACTTGAAACAGTTTCCTTCTAATGTACACTTCGTTTCGTAAAAGGTCGCGCTTTCTGCCAACGTTTCTCCTATCTTTGAGGACGATATCGAATGTGAACGTCGTCCTTCGCCGAGTGTCTTCTTATTTTGACGCGCAATATTCGGTAAGCTCAACCAATGTTTAGAGACGCTAATTTCAACCAAGTCGAATCATTCGCACACTTTCAACGTGGTTTTTCCTTTGGAGCTTGAACGCCAAGGGTTTAGTAAGCGGTGCGAGCACTAAGAACAACCGCTGCGCGTGTGTATCTCGCGTTTATAATAAGAGAGCTTCAAGGAAACTCCTTGGATAAACGAGACGTCGCAGAAGTAAGATCCCTCATAAGGCAAAACAGTCTGCCTAGGGTGGTTGAGAACGTTACAACTTCGCAACGAGAGAAGCAATCAAGCAAGTTATCAGGATGAAATTTCTTAGCTTGGCCGTGTACTTAGTTTTTCGACGTTGACGCGGGACGCCGAGATTGCGTTACAAAGGGATCAGAAACACAGCATCGAGCTGCATGCGTTTGCCGTTGAACAGAGGTCGACCGCTCGCCGACCAGAAAGATTTGCCCTGATAATTGTCGCAAGCTTTGCGCTATCGTTGACCGAAAGCTTATTGGTTACTTACGAAAGACCGAAACGAATTCGACGGCAAAAGTTTCTTTCATAGCCACGAGTAGATCAGATCGGAAAACGCCCAGACAAACGCGTCGCGCCGCAAGTAGAGCTTTCAACAGCAGCCTTCTCGCGCGAATCTCACGAATGCAATCTTTATGCGAGCAAAACGCCTTGATAGAGCATCGTGCACCTCCCCGCGGCGACGGCTGCCACGAAGAGCTGCTGCGAAATTTAATATCGGCAAGTGCACGTACGCGCGAGGAGCAGTAGCAGCCGCGGCGGCGCGGGCTTTGTGAGCTTAATTGCCTTGGCCCCCGCATCCTTAGGCCTCTGTGCGCTTTTCTTCGGCTTAGCTTTCCTCTCGCGACTCGCGAAGATGACTGCCAAGGATCTTCTATTGTCTCACTCGCTCGAAACATAATTAAAATTTTCTAATTAAGAATTTCGATAAGGAAGCTCGGGGGCTCGCCTCTCTCTCTCTCTCTCTCCCTCTCTCTCTATTCTGAGCTCGCCTGCTTGCCTGCCGTCTCGTGCTCATCTCCAGGGAAATACGGGAGCGGACCCGGCTCTCTTTCTCTGGCCTCACTTGCATTTTTCCTTTAAGCAGCTCTGCGTTTCTTGCTGCAAACCTCGCTTTATCTTTTAGCCTCTTTGACAAATGCGTTCGAGCGCGAGCCTTTTGTTGAAAAATTCACTTTGCTTTTTCAATTAAAAAATTGAAATTCGCTTTTGTCGCTTGTCGCTATGGCGGCGCGAAAAATCGACAGAATGTCACTTTATTCCTACACTGTCATTTCTCATAGTAGCTATTGTGTACTACAATAATAGTATAATCCATGTCATTTAAAATGTTTGCTGCCTTTTCACGCTGCTCACTTATGATACGATTGACTAATAATAGAGTGTTTTTCGGAAATACATCTTTATACAGAGACAGACATTGAGAGAGGTTTATCGGTATTTACAATGACAATCACTATTTATAATTTACCATGGAAGAATAAAAAACAAATTTGTTAATTACTTGGAATTTACACCCACACGTGAAAGTAACAATGTGATATATAACCGGTCCAGAAAAAAACACATATTAAATATGACAAACTCGAAGAATTATTATAAAGCGTTCAACAATTGCAAATCGGAGGAACAAGCAAATTCGCGCAGTCTGAAGCCAAGACGGTAAATGAGTAGCGTTTGCACGGTATTTCGCATCCTCTCCATCTTTTTGCATATAATATCTACTGCTATGCTATGAAACAGCCAATTAGCGATATTGATGAGTAAGTGAAACATCCAGGAGAAGCCATTCTTGTCCGTTACACTCGCGAGACGGAATCACTGAAAAATTATTGCGTAACATAGACAATGACTTTGTGATCAGTTTTTGAAGTGCTGACTGAACGAGTACGTCTTACAATTGCCAATTAACAACTTCGAGGCTGGTCAACTTATGCTATATTAAGGATAACCGATTTTCAGCATCCAATTGACCTTTAGGAAGAGTCCTTGAACTTCACCATGGAAAGGACGACTTCGTGCGAGTGCTTACCGCGAAGACACTCTACCAACACACTTCGCCGTCGTGTCACCACACACACTAAAGTAGACAAAAAAACGTTCTGATTTTGGCTATAATCTGTTGCTATTGCTACGTGAAAGTTGGATTGTGATGTTTGCACTTTTATCTAATAAATAAATTTAACAAGTACACTTGTAATTTAGTTACAAGTTATAAAACTGTTTATTGTTTTTTTAGCTTAATATGGGAAATTAATTACATTTTTGAAACGTCACATTTCTAAATTAAGATAAATTACTCATAAGGATCTCTTGTAGCAAAGAATTTATATCCGAAGGCTACTCAATTATCATTTGAAATAGCCTGCAATGCTATTATTGAGAAAATAATTAGCGTAAGCTAAAAGTGAGCTAAAATGTCCAAGCAATTAGTATCGTGTGTGTACTTTAATAAAATAAATATGAAGTAATTTTATAGAAATGAATTTCCAATATTAGACGAATAGTCAAATCAATATCTTACCGAAAATACACCTATGCAGGAAAATCGAAAGCTAGCAGCTGATGTATGCGTAAGAGCGTCTGACGTCGGCTACTGTTTAGCAAATTAACGGATCGTAGATCGCTGCAGTACATGCTGCGCGTTCGGCTTGTTGTTTCTCGCATATACACACTAACTGGTCGGCAGTCTCTCTCTCTCTCTCTCTCTCTCTATCCTGAGAATTCGCCAGCGTTATCCAAGCAATAGCTCTAGAACGTCGATGACGACCAACTTGCCCTGCGGCGCTACCATCGCGTGGTTATGTTTTTCTCGTCGTAGGTACCTACACTATATATAATGGACGCACACTGATGATTCGCTTGAACCCGAAGGCTATTACTACTGCTATGAATAAACTGCGTTGCCCATCAAGATGCGCGTATTGCATATCGCGCCGTTCCCTGTTGGATAATCATTTGAAATTTGATGGAAACATTAGCAACTTCAAGGCATTACGTTGGCTTTTCGTGAGTGCATTTTGGAAAGTTTATGTTTTATAGGAGTCTGGCTTACCTCGTTACTGGTAAATAATTTTAATGCGTTGATTTATAGAACAAGCGAAACTCTTTCGCGATACTCTTTTGGCCTCAACGGCCTCTATGTTATCGCAATACGTACATTATTTTCCGCTCGAATCGATAAATATGTTATTCGACAATTTTATTTTTACACCTTTGACATTTTATTATGATAATTTGGCAATAGTATGAAAATGACTTCATTTTCATATTCACTGTATTCCTTTTCTCTCAGATCGTCCGACAGATACTTTGACGCATTACTAAACGTAAGTTTGACTAAGGCAAATTAGTAACAGACAGTTCTTGCATGTCGGCCGACAGAATGTCAAAACAGAGCTTAGAACGCGTGGCCATTTCAGTTAGGAAGTGGGCAGAGGAGCAGTGAGAAACTCGCGGATAGAGAGAGTGAGAGAGACGGAGCTAGTATCGAGAGGGTCAGAGCCGTCATAAGAGTATGGAGGCGCGCTAGTAGCGTGTAGTGCGGATTAACGTTACAGAGACGCTGCTCCACTCTCCTAAACGGGATAACTGAGATTCCTGCAGTCTCGCGCGCGTGCACACACACACACACACACACACACACACACACACACTCAGACAGGGAGACAGAACCGACCGATTCCGGGCTAACCTCGTTGGCCTAACTAAGTAAGGATCCCAAATGGCAATCCTGTTCGACGAGCAACTTGGACTCATCGCATTCCCTCTGCGATGTGCGCCCGGAATGTTCAACAATTTCTCTTTTCGCAATGTAGACTCTGTTAGCTGTTTCAAGAACATCCAACGCTCGCTCGACAAAACGCGCGAATGAGATTGATTTGTTTTTCATCAACCAAAAAATCACTGGATAATCAGCGGGCAGGCGGGGCATCGCGCATCGTTATGAAAACTCGATTGAATTTTATTCCGAATAGCCGAGCGCCGATAAATGGAACGCCACCCCGCCATGATCGTCGGCTCACTGCTTGTCGATGCAAACAGCGATCGAAAACGAGGAACGTTAATCGCCAAGATTAAAAGTCAATCTCTCGCGGACGCGCGAAAAATTGGCGCTTACCCCCGACTGTACGCGCAGTCCGCAATGAAAATAGTGCATTCTTTCGCGTCCGCATCCTCTGCCCCGCCAGCCGATGTTCAATTGTTGTTGTTTTTAACCTCTGCCCTCCCCCGGAGGATTAATCGCGGATCAGGCGCGAACAAATGGACATGTTGAAGGGGAATTTCTTGATAAACACGAAGGAAGAGGCCGTGATAGCGAACGAGATTTTGCGCGACAACGAGTACATAGGCTTGTACTTCTCGGCCTCGTGGTGCCCTCCCTGCCAGATATTCCTGCCGCAGCTGAGAGACGTTTACGAAAAGGCGCGCCAGCGAACAATCAGCTTGGAGATAATATTCATACCGGCGGACAAGGATAACCAGCGGATGACGCGCTTTTTCGTCGATAATCACGGTCCTTGGTACGTAACGGCGCACACTGTCGCGCGCGCTCGCGAGTATTGAATTTGGTTTTGTGGCGCTTAACGAAGGTACGCTCTGCCTGTTGGCCCTTTGACGGCTGCACTGAGAAAGAAGTTGCAGGTATACTCGATACCTTGCTTCATTGTTTTGAGCAACAAGGGCACGATAATCAGCAAGAATGGCCGAGAGAATATCGAGGATTTGGAAGATCCGCTTGCGCACTGGTTCGGGGCATTGAGCGTGGAAAACGAAAATAAAGTCTGACTTGACGAAAGGTGTTATTTTGGAGTGTAATCCGACGGGAGATTGCGCGTGCGATATGGCTGGCTAATTCTCGGGTGGAAGGCTAAGCCGAACGCGTTATATTCGCCGCTTGATTCTTGGCCGAGAGTCGCTAGTCGGCGTGTCTAATTAGCGATTGCTAATTGCTCCGCAACGTTGCTAGACCGGTCGGCAGTAGCCATTCGCTCGCGATTACGGACGTTCGCACCTACCGCGAATGAAACTTTCCTCGCAGCGCGGCGCGTGCGACGGATAATTAATTAGAGGAGAAGCTTGCGAGCGCTTTCGACCCCATCCGAGACTTAGCTCTCTTCCTCGTCTATATGCGAGCGCCGCGCACGTATTTATGCGAGCGCGCCAGAGTTATGAGCCGCCTTGCGACTTCGCGATTTGCGGCACTGAGCCCGACCGACCGAACACGCGAGCAATTATCCGACCAGGCGTGACGCTTCGTCGGCCGATTGTCTTGCCTCCAACTTTGAATAGAAGAAACGCAAAAAGAAAAAAAAAAAAAGCAAAGCGAAACTCTCAATTCCGCGAAGGGCAGAATGGAAGGAGCCACTGCGACCGACATCGATTTCTTTTTAACGTTCTTTGTCATGTCCCGGGCGGACAAGTTTCGTCCCGGTGACGATTATTTTATTTACACAAAACAGAGGCTGCAGCACGCTAATGACGCTGCAAGCACAATCGCCGAGCGTCAAAAGAAAAACGGGGACGAAAGAAGTTTGTGCCTCGTTATCTGGACCCCAGAGCTCGTTTTTAGCGAGCTGGCCCCTTTTAAAGTCGCCGCCGCGCTTTCAATCGTCGCCACTGGCGTTTCGCTATCGTTAGAGAAGTCGCCATTGTTTTCCGTCTCACTCTCTCTCTCTCTTTCTCTCTCTCTCTGTTTCCATTGAACGCGTTGTTGCCGTCGACAACTAGAGATAGGCACAGCTTCTCTCTCGACGCAACAATAATGCACAAAAAAATAAAATCCTGTTTTTTATTTCTCTATGAAATAACGCGAAATCATTTAGACTGAACGTTACGTGCGATACGTGGTATGTGGTTGTTCTTTGTCCAATTGTTCCAGCAAGTTAACAACGTTTCCATGTAATTTTCACGCAGCTATGTTCTGTAGTTATTTACACTCTTCTCGCGGAAATTAAACGATGCCGATTTATTTTTCGTTCTCTCGTCGTTTGTATATCTGGTATCGGGCTGTCGGAGTAAAACCGATTACAAATCGCCCTTTGAAAATTACACGATTTCCGATACAGGCCTCGATTGACCCTTGGCGAGTGGCTCGATTTGTTCAAAAGCTTTCGATTGTTACCCCATGTATAATGAACACGTGATACTGCGTACACCGCTAGACAGACACGTTTGATTTCAGAAATAAAAGTTGCCAGGCGCAATTGTACGAATTCGCACAGCGTTATATATCATTTAGCGTGCAATACCGCAACCTCCTTGTGGCGACAGCTGTGAGTATTTGATCGGTCGCTCGAATATACGTAAGCTCCGCAAGAGCCGCTGCAATGAATTAGCGCGGCGGGAGATGCAATGGCAAATTAAATCTGTGCGCTTGATTAAAATGAAAGATCGATTTGGCGGGACGCCCATTAGTTGAAGCACGTCTGAATCAGTCGTCGCCGAGCCGATCGGGGCCGTTCAGCGGCGGAATTCGCGCGCGCGCGCGCGCGTGGAGCGTCGAGCGCTCGCCGCCGTCATCGACGTCGTTGCGCGATTAGCACTCCAGCGCGCGCCACCTCGTTTCGCTTTCTCGCGAGCTCTTGTTTTCTAAGGGAATTATCGGGAATAAGGATTGACTGGCGGCCGGCAGCGCGCACGAGCATCATCATCGTTTGATAGGCTCGTACGTTGCACACGATAACGGCACCCTCCCCCTTCCACTCTTCGCGCAGTTGAGCTGCCGATAATGACCGAGCAGGCGCTGCTCTTGCAATGTAAGCAACGCTCCAGTTTCGATTCTATACCGACAGGATTTTTATGCTCGAATAAACATTAGACTTTCGTTTTCTATTCGACGAATGTCTTCGTAGCGAGGCAGTATCACAAAGGGAATATCAGTTTGGCAGTGTACGACTGTGCAGCTTAGTATCGTAAAATAATTATCGGCTAAATCGATTAACGCACGCACACACACAGGCAGCTGCTGCTGCGAGCGGCCTCTAATCGGACAATTAGTTCTAGCGTCAGCTGTCCTTGCTTGTTAGTTGCAAGCTCAAACGCACGCTGCTAATTAACATAAGCATGCGGGCGGGCGCTAGTCATATATACGCAGTTCTGCTCTGCTCCACTCTGCTCTGCGTGCGTGTGTCTGTCGACATCCTCATCTCCTTATCTCCTGCTTACTCTTCTCTCTCTCTCTCTCTCTCTGATGCACTCGATGTTTTCGCGGGCAAACGGGGGAGAGAGAAAGAGAACTCTCAGCTATCTTGCACTGGCGTCGTTAAACTAGTTCGAAACTTGCCTGCTGGGTAAATTATCTCGCTAATCAAATCGAAATAAAGCACGACATTGTACCAAGAGTTTACTTCCGCTATCCTCCTCGCTCTTCTCTCGGGCTCTGCTGTTGCTGAATTAAATTAATGTTTTACATTTACAGTTGCTGCATTTCCTCTTCACCGTCGCTACAGTCTCTTATTATCTTGCAGCTTGCTCAGCGGCAAACTGCCCTCGCTCGATGACCAACGCGATCTGTTTGCAATGCTATCGGAAACAAACATCGCGTGTGACTTTCAAATCAGTACTTGAATATATAGTTCCGGGGAGGCTTTTACCCGCTGAATTCTAACGCAGTTGCGCGGAGGAAGTTCACTGACCCGCGACAATTGCCTCCTCCGCGACGACGACTAATGGGACATTCGGAGAGAAGAGAAGAGAAAAGACGAGGGAGAGGGGGCCTCGAAGAAAATTAGCGATTTGGCGGGGACAAGCGATAGGTGGTGCAACCCTCGTCAGTGTCGCAGGGAAGTGCACTGCCAATAGTAATTTTCAGAGGTAGAGCAGCAGTCACGTGCTCGCGCAGGGACAATTCCACGATCAACAATTCCGCTTGACGACCGATTGGATGCATTTTTTACAAGTCTGTGCATCGAGTCTCTCTCTCTCTCTCTCTCTCTCTCTCTCTCTCACTTCTGCTTCCGTTTGCATCATTGATTTTCACAGAGAGGGAGATGCGCCGCCCCGACCTCACCCAATACCAGTCAGTCATTTGTGCTTTGTTCTGTGTGCACGACTATTCTGACTCTGCTTCATATGACTTACAATCATTCGTTTCTTTGTTATGTTAATACACTGCAGGTAGATGATAGACGGCCATTTATAGACTTTAATGTCAATGTAGGGAGCTGTTCCAACTATACGACGAGTTTGGACAAAGAATTTCTACCGGTTGTCTCTTCCAATCAAATATTTTCATCATCTTCCTCGTTCAGAAATTCATTTCATTTGTAGACCTACTATCAAAATGCTCGAAAGCTTTTCCAGTGGAACCACCGTGTAAAATTATAACAGCCAAGTTTCACGCGCGAGAACGTGCAATTTTCGATAGGCAGCTGCACGGCATCGCACCAAAAATTGTAAAGAAAGCTTGTCGGTATGGCTTTCATCAAAACTATTCACACAAATCAATCGTCGTTGCGTGAAAAACTTTCGGACCCCCCCCCCCCTGCCCCGACCAGGATGTAATAATGTTGCTTGGCTAAAAACGAAGGAAGCTTTGATTAGTCCATTTCACAAGAATTTCTGTGATTTTTAACCGCAAGCGCTGGCTTGCCCGCGCCCATTTGAACGCTACACATACCATATCCCGAATTCTCCACTCGAATATCCGTGCACGCTCACATAGCCAGCCCCATCTCTTTCTCTCTCTCTCTCTCTCTATCTCGCTCTCCCCATCCCTAGCTCCCACCCCCCACGCAGTGGGGATACTCTGCAACGAAATACCTCGAACGAAATTGAATTTTCGAAAAACTTGAATATTTATCCAGACCTCGCGGACAGCAATCCGATAAATGCGGGCTTTCCCGGCATTTAGCCGTGGTCGAGTGGATATATTTTTTCCATTTCACCGCGAGAGGGAGAACGATCGTCGATGACAAAGTGCCAACGAGTACGTGCTCATACCAGATTTCTTTATTATATAGCTATCGCGATGTGATCGAAGAACGGCAGTTACTCTGGATGATGGTAAATTCCTGAGGCTTCGGCTTTACGCACGAAGTCACCGAGAGATTTCCCTGTAACGTTACACAACGATCTATACTTCAAGATTTTATGTGTGACAATCTGCAGAATGTATGTCGAAAGGCTGACTGCTATTAACCGATCCATGTTGGGCTTTCGCGTTGGAGAAAGGTCCGTTCGATGATTTATCACGCGACGACCTTTATTACGGATCAGTAAACGCATTTCGCGTCCGGCACGAGTCTAATAATTTTCCGGATTACGTAGCCTCTATTAAACCAGATATAAGCTAACTTCACTCTGATAGCACAGATATCTGTGAGGTGAGAGTGCGTCACTCAGATAATGATTTTTAAAATGGGTTTTAGAAAAAGAATGCATCAACGGAAGGCAATTGATCCAATAAAGTTGGCGCAGTGGTAGGCGTCATTAGATATCTCGGATCTAATCAATGCGCAAGTTACTTTATCAAGTATTGCACTATTTCAATGCTGGCACTTATGAATAATCCGTATAAAATCGTAATTGAAGTTAGTTAGCCTAGCCAGCCACCAACCGCGCAACACTAATCATCTCTAACAACCTCTATGAATCCGTCAGCTCCCTCTTGGCTGATATCACCTATTCTTTACAACTCTTCTGGCACGAGCACGCACGTTACACTTTCCACGAATGCTGTAGGTAACAGCCCCGTGCCGTCGATGTACGTGCCAACTTGCTATATATACCCATACTTTCTAGCATACGCCTGGGCGATCACACGTGAGGAAAAGCCAACGCAACAG